ACCCTTGAATCCACTTTCAAACTTGGATGCATTCAAAAACTCGACTTTACTCCAAAACCAAAAGCAAATTTTAAAAGAGTTAAAGTCGATGGAAAAACTGTCGTTTCAAGAAAGAACTTTGAAAATGTGGTATACGAGAACAGTACGAGTAAGAATTTTGATGGACGAAATGACACCTCTCAATAAGAAACCGATGGAAATCCTATGGTTAAACTAGAGTCTCTGATTGTCAATTCCTCTCCATCAGCAAGTACTGTTGATGAAAAAGAGAATCCAAATGAGGAACCATCAGCTGATGAATCGATGAACAACCCAGGTAAAATTGCAAGTTCATCGAAGGCAGAATCGATGAAACCTCAAACAGATCACTCTGAAGCATCAACCTCTGAACTCACATCTTCTAATTCAATCCATGCTCATCTTGATTTTGAGAAATCCGCAAAAGACTTTCTTGATTCTGAATCTGAATAAGAGATGAGTTGTGAATTATCAAAGATCATTGAGGATTAGAAGAATCAAAACACAAAAACCTCAATGAAATCTGGTATTCCTTCATCGATGAAAACTTCAGACAAAGAAAAGAGAAAACTGAAAGATAGTAAATCTGCCAAAGATAACTCACAAGGCGCTAGTACATCCTTCAGGTTCATCAAGTTTACTCGTGAGCAAAAACAGAAGTGGCCTGCCTCTGAGAGTATTAATCACCATTTTTCTTTCCATCCAGCTGAAGAAAAGCAGACCTTCCACGGGAGAAAAGAAGCAAAGCCAAAGACCTTTTCAAATAAAAAATCTGAACTAGATAGGAAGTTTGTAAAAACAACCGATGCTAGGACAAGATTTACATCTACATTTACTTCTTCGTTTACATCGAATAAAAAGAAAGTTAGACATACAGATCCAAAGCATCATCATTGTCAATGTTTAACTCTTTTACAAAACCTGAGAAATCACATGGTGACACATCACGACCCCTTTTCACAACACGTTTATCGATACAAAGTTAAAACCAATGAAAACGTGAAAAAGCCCAAACCCAAGGGAAAGGGAAAGGCAAATAAACCCAAGCCTAACAAGGCTAAGGGCAATGAAAAGAGTGTGAAATCCCTTACTAACAAATGAGGACCCATTATGAAATGGGTACCTAAAACCCCTTAATTTGTCTTGTAGGACCAGCATGTGCAACCATGGTATATGGACTCCGGTTGCTCCGGGCACATGACTAGTGATAAAAGTCAACTATCCTCCTTCATCGAAAAATCTGGAGGATCTGTGACTTTTGGAGACAACAGCAAGGGCACTATCAAAGGATATGGCACACTCATCAAAGGCAAAATCTACATCAGCAAAGTGGCTTATGTTGAAGGATTGAAGCACAACCTGTTAAGCATAAGCTAGTTCTGTGACAAGGGTCTTGAAGTCAGGTTTCGCAAAGGTTTTTGTATAATAGAAACAATGCCCGGACAAACAATCATCAAAGCAAAGAGAGAAGGAAATCTCTATCTTCTAGATTTTGAGTCCTCAAAAGGACAAAACACACTTTGTCTTGTTTCCCATAAGAGCGATGAAAATTGGCTATGGCATCAAAAATTTTCACATCTTAACTTTGATGCACTACGAAAATTAGCCACACAGAAATTGGTCAAGGGAATTCAATATCTCAAATTCAAAAAAGATCATCTTTGCTCTACATGTGAGACAGGAAAGCTCAAAAGGGCCTCACATAAAACCAAATCAGAAACCTCCTGTACCAAGCCCTTCGATATGATTCATATAGACCTTTGTGGGCCTATTTCAACCCAAAGTCTCCCCGGCAAGAAGTATATGTTAGTATTGGTCGATGAATACTCCCGATACACTTGGGTTGAATTTGTAAAGCATAAATCAGTCGTTCCAGACCTACTCATTGGAGTGATGAAAAGGCTTCAAGTCCTTCTACAACAAAAACTAGTGAAGGTTAGAAGCGACAATGGAACTAAATTTAGAAATGCTAAAATTGGTGACTACCTCTTCAGTGAAGGCATTACACAAAACTTTTCATCCGCAAGAACTCCACTACAAAATGGAGTGGTAGAG